AGAACCAGCACCTCCAGTCCCAGGGTCTCCAACCTCAGTGTCTCCAGTAGCAGCACCCCCAGAACCAGCACCTCCAGTCCCATGGTCTCTAACCTCAGTCTCTCTTGCAGGAGCACCTCCAGACGCAGCACCCTCAGCCCCAGCAGCCCCAGTACCCACAGTACGAGCAACTCCGGAACCAGCGACTCCAGCAGCAGAGCCCCGGGCTCCAGCAGCGCGAACCTGACGGCGACCGTACCAGTCCTGCAGCTGCTGTGGGGTGAGAGGCACACGCGGACGAAGGCGGCTACTCCAAGGAGACCGCGGAACAGCAGAATCAGAACCCTCAGCGCCAGCACCCTCAGCTGCTCCAGAACCTCCAGCACCAGCACCTCCAGGCTCCTCACGCGTAGGCACAGCACCCCCAGACCTAGCACCCCTAGGCTCAGAACCTCCAGGCTCCCCTCGCGCAGGCTCCGCACCCTCAGACTCGACACCCCCAAGCTCAGCACCCCCAGGAACAGCACCCCGAGCAGGACCACCCTCAGCAGAACCTGAGTCACCAGTGACCTCAGCAGGCGCAGGTACCGGAGGGTCTACCTGAGAAACACCTGAAGGAGCAGGACCTGGCGCGGGGAGGGGGTCTACCTGGGGAGGACCTGGAGTGAGAAAGAGCGGCGGGGGGCGAGAGGTAGTGCGGTAGGGAAAGAGACGGTAGAAGGGAACAGAGTCGTCAAAGGTGACCTCCTGAGACGCAAAGACACGGCGCGAGGTGGGGTCGTAGAACTGCCAGCCAGGCGCGTCAGGAGGAAAACCAAGGAAGACGCAGGGAATGGCGCGAGCAGAGAGCTTGTCCGCAGTGAGATCGCGGACAAAGGCACGAGCACCCCAGACCCAGAAACGCGACGCATCGCCAACCTCCCCCGTCCACAGCAGTGTGGGCGAGGTCTCCGGCAAGGAGACACGGGGCCAGAGGTTGAGCTGATGCGCGGCGTATCGGACCGCAAACGGCCACAGAAAATGGGGAGCCGCCGCATGGATCATGGAGGTACGAGCGACCTCCATGACTAAGCCAATGCGGCGCTCAGCGACCCCTTTCTGCTGTGGAGAGGCCGGAAGCGTGAACGACTGGGTGATGCCGTGCTCCTCACAGAAGGCTCGTAAGAGGTCGGAGGAGAACTCACCACCTCTGTCAGAGTGCAGACGCAGGACGGGAAAGTCCGACTGGAAACGCTTGCGGAGCTGGAGACGAGCAGCGCGGATCCAGGGGATCAAAACAGCAGGGACGTCCCCCTTGCTGCGCAAGGGGAAGACCGTGGTGTAACGCATGTAGTCGTCGACAACCAGCAGGAAGTACCGCTCACGGCCCTGTCCCTGGACGCGGGCTGGTCCCCACACGTCCAGGTGGAGCGTCTGCAGCGGAGCCTCTGTGGGAGGAAACGAGGAGGAGTGAGGAGCGGCGCGCTGCCGCCCCTCGAGGCAGGGAATGCAGGGTGGCGCAGGCGAGGGAGGGAGGGCAGGCAGAGACCTGGGAAGCCCAGAGACTAGGGAGCGAGAGTGCATGCTACGAAGGCGAGGCAGGGAGGGGTGACCCAGGCGGTGGTGCCACGGGAGAGTGTCGTGCGACAGGCGACGGCACTCACACTGGGTAGCTACCTGAGCAGACGCGTACAGCTGAGGAGACAAAGGAGTGTAGCGTGAAACAGTGGTGAGGGTGTACGGACTGGACCCCGGCTCACGAGTGAACGTGGCCAGGTGGCGGCCAGTCTTGGAGCACGTGCAGATCGCCACACGCTACCCTCCAGGAGTCCAGGTGTCAACCCAGTGATCCTGAAGGACGGCGTTGCTCACCAGGTTCGTGGAGAACGAGGGAACATGGAGACCTGACAGCTCACCAGACGGGACCGCCGGACAGGGAAGCACAGTAGTGGACCGTGCAAGTACTGGGCCCCCTGAGGGGTCGGCCAATGAAACAGGGACAGGTGCAGGGAGGGGAATGACGGTGGTGCTATCGCGAAAGAAACAGCGGGAAGCACCAGAGTCAAGTGTAAACGTGTGCAAGGCCTGAGCGGACGCAGTACCAAGGGGAGCAGACTCACTAGCACCTAGGGCTGCAACCCTTATACCGGGGTCAATACCAGGGTCAGGCGGCACACACAAGTAGCAGTCACCCTCAGCACTAACAGTCAATGCATACATGGCAGCAAGAATAACATTATAGTCCAGATCAAAGATAGGCACATCACGCCTAAGCAGCTCTGCCCTGTTGGGAAACTCAACAGCATCAGGATACTTGGCGCGCCAGGCGTCACTAAGCCTAGCGAAACAGCGGTACTCAGTGTGAAAACCGTTGCAGGGGCGACCCTTGCGGGGGCCAGTACGAATGACATAGGGGCAGCGGTCAGAACCCCGAGACGCCCCACGCCCAGCATACCAGTCATTGAGCTGCTGGGAGGTGAGGGGAGGAAGCTGCTGCTGCTGCTGCTGTGGCTGCTGCTGCTGCTGCTCCTGCTGCTGGCCACCCTTCTGTCCGGATCCACCCCCACTCCCACCTCCACCGCCAATGCCGCTGCCTCCTCCCCCACCACCGCCGCTGCCGCCCCCACCGCCCCTGCCGCCACCCCAACCACCGCCTCCACCCCCACGTCCACCCCCACCACCTCCACCACCCCCGCCGCCTCCACCACCGCTCCCTCCACCGCTACCTCCGCCACTCCGGCCACCCTTGCCACCCCTGCCACCACCACGCTTCCCACCAGGAGCGGAAGCCGCTGCGACCTTCTCCGCACCGAGGGAGTCGACAGCAGTAGCAGCAGAGGCGTAGGAGGGGTCAAGAGGGGAGGGGGAGCACCCCTCAAAGAGGGGAGTGCGGGGAGTGCCACGAGCAGCACCGACAGCGAGGATGTTCTTCTCTGCTGCGACCAGCTGCTGCTCGAAGTCGTCCAGAGTGATAGTTGGAGGATCCTTGGCAAGGAAATTATCCCTGACAGAGCGAAGACTATCAGGGAGGCGGGTCACGAGGATGTAGAGGGTAAAGTACAGAGGAGGGGCGTTCTTGGCGAGGAACTCGTCTGTAAGAGCGGCTCGAAAGCGGGCGTCACTAGCGCGGAGGTGAGTGATAAGGTCGGCAGCAGTGTGAAACGAGGCTAAGTCTGGGAACAGGTAGGGCAGGATGAGACTACCAACGGTGGCTGTGGCCGGGGCGGAATAGCGGGCAACGACAGCATCATACAGCGTCTTAGCAGTCTTAAGCTGGTTGAAATGCGCGCGCTCAGAGATCGGTAGGTGATTGCGAATAACAAGGCGGGCTACTGCATCGCGGAGCTCCCACTGTGCTCTATCAGGGGCAGGAGCATTCTCAGCGGGAGTAGGGACAGTGCCAGTCACATAGGCGAGCAGTGATACTCCGTCTGCGACGTCAGTCATAAGGTAAAGCCGCAGATCACTAAGCCAGGTGTCAAACTCGATGGGGCGGCCGTCAGGCTCAAAGGCGAGAACTGTAAGGGTCGCCATGGTTGCAGCGCAGGCAAAGGCTCAGGCAGCAGGCAAAGGCTCAGGTAGCAGACAAAGGCTCAGGTAGCAGGCAAAGGCTCAAGTAGCAGGCAAAGGCTCAGGCAGCAGGCAAAGACTCAGGTAGCAGGCAAAGGCTCCAGGCTCAGGCAGCAGGCAACTGTAGTAGGCAACTGTGCTTAAACCCTAAACCCTGGCAGACGCTATGCACAGGGCAGCAATGAGCTGCACGAGCGGCGGGCGCGGCGTGTAGGGCTTAGGTGGGCTGCGCGCGGGCGGTAGGTGCTGCGCGCAGCGCTGGGGCAGACCGCGCAGGCAGCAAACGCGACTCGAGGGGCCTAAAAGGGCTGCGCGCGAGCGACGGACGCGGCGCGCGGGCTGCAGACGGGCCGCGCGGGGCCTTAGCGGGCTGCGCGTGGCAACAACGGGTCGCGCGCGGGCGGCGCGGCCTCTGGGCGGGCTGCGCGAGCGACCTACGGGGCGCGACACGGCGGGCAGCAGCAGTGCGCGCTAAAAAAAAAAAAGGCGTGCGCGCGGGCAGCAGGCTAGGCAGACAGACAGGCAAGGCAGGCAGGCAGGCCGTTGGTGAGGTAACTTAGTAACCGGTGGGCCCTTAAACTTAGGTCCTAAGAACCTGCTCTAGATGCCATGATGAGATAGCTAGGCAAGGTTGAGTCAATGGTCGAGAGAGTTTGGTACAAGGGGCATAACCCTAAAGTTCTATCCTCTATAACATCTACCCCACTGCAGCCTACCTATATATATAACACATATATATCATTTGACAAGAGGCGCTTAAGGCTTGTTGTTTCCAACAGGGGCATCGCGTAAGACTTGACGTCTCCAGGCGCCACGTGGACTTCTTGATTCGATGTACTGACCATACCAGCGAGGACGGCACATGGGTGCCATCCGCCTCGCTTAGAGCATCTTCGTTGCTGCGCGATTATTTCGCCTGGAAGCGTGTTGTGGATATTGACCAACTTTCTTAAAGGGGAGGGGGTGGGGGTAGTGTATGGAAAACCCGTTTTCCTTATTGGGATTTACTCTTTCACGTACAACTCCAACTAACAGCCACATTATTTCCTGCCGAAGCAACCTCGCGTCGCCTTCGAGTTTCCTTTGCCCAACCTGCACCCAACCTCGTCTTCCCGAGGTGCTTTTCGTTCTATCGTCAGTTCACTTAGTCACAAGCCTCGTTATTTGTTTTCCGCACAACTCTGTTTTACAAATCATAACAGTATGCATACCGTAATGCTTTATTTTCAACCGAGGCCAACATCCAACAATGCCACCAAAGCTAAACAAACACCACATAAATAAATATAAGCCTAGGATGCTGTCTCACACACGTCAAGACTCACATGCTCTCACATGCTCTCACGCCCTACATTTTCCCTTCACCACATGCCCCACCACACTCAACATTATAGTCCATACACCACATGCCCTGCGTTTGCCATCAACCATACTATGCCATGCAGCACGTGTTGGTACCAACAACCACCACATCACGACTCAATCACAATCCAAGGCCGCTCAAGCCCACGCAGAGTCTTCTCCTTGTACCCACACCCCCTCACGCTCAGCCGCCTCACCCGCTTCCCTTGCAGAATATCCCTCAACCAATCAGCCGGCATGTTGTTGAAGCCCAAATCCAGCACCTTAAGCCGAGGCACAAGGCTGAGGTACTGCAAGAACGACACGCCCACATGGCGGCACTGCTGCAGCGTCAAGCGCTCCAATTGCTTGCAGTATTTCAGGTCCGCGGTGTCGTCTTTGGTGATTGTCGTTCCCGACAGGTCCAGGGACTCAAGCCTCGGCATGGCAGCTGCTATTTTCATCACCACGCTGTCAGTTGTGAAGGTGCAGCCAGGCAGGCTGAGGTGGGTGAGCCACGTGACGCGAGTCAAGCGTGTGAACGCATCATTGTCGAGGAAAGCCCCGGTGACGCAGAGAGTGGTAAGAAGCTGTAGCTCGTGGAGTGCCGTGTAGGCGTGCTTGTAGCGCGGTGGTGCATGCAGCTCCAGGTGATTAAGAATACGCAGCGAGCTCAGCAAATTCCACACCCCACTGTCGTCATCTTGGCTCGGCAATCCCTCCAAGCGTCTCAAGCGTGAGCGTTCTTGAAAGCTCTCCCAAAAAACGCCCCCATGCTTCTTCTGTGGCCTTGCAAACACTTGCGAGACCACTGGCAAGCTTCCATTGGGATAGTCCATCCTCAGACCACGACGGTCCAGATCCGCTGCAGCCACGCAGAGCTGCCTCAGCCGTTTTAACCCGGCGAGGCACATCCATCCGATGAAAGTCACCCCCTCACAGCACGTGCAGGAGAGAATCTCAAGGCTCGTGAGCACGCCCACGTGCTCCAGAACTGCGTTGGTCACCTGGCTCAAGTGCAGCACTTTGAGGTTCTTTAATTGCCCGGGCGCCGTTTTGAAGGCCAGCGTTGAGGGCCCGGGGCAATCGAGCACGAGTTGGCGCAGGCGAGACAAGGGCTGGATGAAGGACAGGGCGTTTGGCGCGATGGGGGTCTGAAGGAAGGAGAGGGAGGTGAGGCAGGGGAGATGGACGAGGGAAAGAATGTCGTGGGGAGAGACAGAGGAGCAGTGGTCGAGTGAGAGGGAGGAGAGGGAGGGGAGGAGGGTGGGGCGGAAGGTGGGAGCCAGTGAGAAAAAGTAGTGGAGGTTGCGGTTGGAGAGGGTAATCTCATGTAATACAGGAGTGATCTGCGGTGCTGCGGCTGCAGGGTTGCCGTTGAGTTGCTGCGTTTCAGGAACGACCCGCTGCAGAGAAGAGAGAAAGCGGACCGTTTTGTTGATCATTCGTGTCTGATTCACCTGCTTGTCAGCAGGGATGAGCAGAAGCAAGGCGTCGATTTTCTCATGCAGCCGCGCCCTGAATGCCTCTTCACCATTGGTGGGTTCTCCCCCCACCGGTGCACTCTGCACCTGCCCAGCTGCTGCTGCGCCGTGCTCTACTGCTGCTGCTCCGCACAGCCCCGCCTCTTGCGCCCATCGCTCCACAGACGCTACCAGGTCGTTCCCCACCAACCCATCTGCCTCTCCTGCACCACTCTGCTCCCCGCCTGCCCTCCCCACCACGCCTTCCCCTCCCCTCCTCTCCTCCATGCTTCCCTGCATTATCTCTCTAGCTTCGTTCCCTTCCCCGTCGCCATTGTCCTGCCCCATTCCGTTTTCAGCAACGAGGGGCTGCTCGTGAAGGGTGGAGGAGCAGAGGGGTGGCGCAAGGTAGTGAAGGGAGAAGCAGAAGGGTGGTGCAGAGTTGGAATCGAGAGGAGCAACAAGGTGAATGTAACAAGACATGCTGACAAATCTAAGTTTATTGTATTTAGGTAAATTGCAGAAAGACTGGAAATTCAGGAAGGAGGAAAAAGGAATGGAAAGGGCGAAAGGGGCGAGAACGAGCGGGAGAGGCAAAGTCAATGCCACCTCTCACCTCAATGCCACCTCTCACCTCAATGCCACCTCTCACCTCAATGCCACCTCTCACCTCAATGCCACCTCTCACCTCAATGCCACCTCTCACCTCAATGCCACCTCTCACCTCAATGCCACCTCTCACCTCAATGCCACCTCTCACCTCAATGCCACCTCTCACCTCAATGCCACCTCTCACCTCAATGCCACCTCTCACCTCAATGCCACCTCTCACCTCAATGCCACCTCTCACCTCAATGCCACCTCTCACCTCAATGCCACCTCTCACCTCAATGCCACCTCTCACCTCAATGCCACCTCTCACCTCAATGCCACCTCTCACCTCAATGCCACTTCTCACCTCAATGCCACTTCTCACCTCAATGCCACCTCTCACCTCAATGCCACCTCTCACCTCAATGCCACCTCTCACCTCAATGCCACCTCTCACCTCATTGCCACCTCTCACCTCAACCAGGTCATAATTATCCCCAACGCCTTCCTCCATTGCGTCCTCCTCTGCATCTTTGGCGTTATTTTCACAATTCTCTTCCGCTCCTTCCCTCTCTGCCGCTCCTTCCCTCTCTGCCACTCCTTCCCTCTCTGCCGCTCCTTCCCTATCTGCCGCTCCTTCCCTCTCTGCCGCTCCTTCCCTCTCTGCCGCTCCTTCCCTCTCTGCCGCTCCTTCCCTCTCTGCCGCTCCTTCCCTCTCTGCCGCTCCTTCCCTCTCTGCCGCTCCCTCCCTCTCTGCCGAGTGTCCTTCTCTTCCCTCTCCCCCAAGCCCTGCTCCTACTGCCTCCACTGGCTCCTCCCCTCGCCCTTCTCCCACTGCTTGCTCCATCTCCTCCATTACTCCTCCAGTAGAGTCCCCATCCATCTTTTCTTCAACCCCTTTCTCTTTTGTCTCGTCTCCCGGCTCCTCCCCTCGCCCATCTCCCAGCACAGCTTCCTGCATCTCCTCCCTTGCTTCTCCACCAGATTCACGCTTCCACTCTTCTTCACCCCCTTCCTCCGTCGTCTTGTCTACCAATTCAATTTTCTTCTCCTCGTCCTCGTCTCTCATTCCCCCCTCTTCCTCCCCTTCCTCCTCCTCTTCCGCCTCCTTCTCCCCCTCACCCCCCTCGTCCTCCTTTTCCTCCTGACCCTGATCCTCCTTCTCCTCCTCCCCCACAGTTTGCCTCTCCATGTTTTCTCCCCGCTCCTCTCCGCTCTCCATTATTCCTCCTCCCGCCTTCCGCCCCTCAAGTCCGCGCACTGATCTCCCCACTCCGCGCACCTTCTCGCGGATGGCTTCCGCATGGGCTGACAGGGCTGCCAGATGCTGCTGCTAGCATGGGGAAGCAGGGGGCAAGGGGGACGGAAGGGCGAGTACAAGGGAGAAGGGGGGGGAGGGAGGGAGGGAGGGGAGTGAGGGGAGGATGGTGGAGTTGAAGTTCGAAACGTTGTCGCGAATGGCCTCAAGCAGCGGCGAACAGATGTTCGCTGAACCCAAATGCCACCTCCTACGTAGGAGGAACTATGATGCGTCTGAAGGATTAAAATGCAGAGCGTAGCGATAGCGAGAGAGCTTCACGCGAACTCCCGCGCAGCTACATGCGTGGGTGCCGAGTAGACTAGGTCGTCAGCCACCGCCCTGCCAAGTCAAACGGTTGTTGACGGCCCTTGCTGTCGTACGGCCCTCTAACACCGTCCATCACCTGCCCAGTCGGAACCTTCACTTAGCCTCGGCTGATAACAGGGCGACCTAAATGTTCCTGGCGAAGGCAAACAGTAGCCTATGGGGTTGGGTCCACTACGCTGCAATCAGATGCACGCTAAGTTGGAAGCGTTGGTAGTACCGTACCGCCCAGGCCAAGGTTTGGAGGCGTGGGAGACAAGTTAGTATTTTCCGAGCCACTCGCAGCACACATGCGAGATGTGTGTGACCATGCGATATGCGACACACGAGGGTGTGCGACACATACAAGATGTGCACGACACATGCGAGACGTGTGTGATATTTGAGAGACATGTGCGAGACGCACTCACCATCATCATTGGCTCTGAGGAAGAGCCATCCGCCAGGCGAGCTCGCTTGCGCCCTGTCTTAATACCCAGAGATGACGGCGCCACGCCGCTCGCCCATTCCGTCCCGATCGCGTCCGCCAGCGCGGAAATCGCCTCCACCTTCTTTTCAATCCACTCCTCCAATTCCGCCATAGCTTTTCTTACTTCGCTCGTTTCGTCGTCGTGGCTCCTCGCCCCCGTTGCTATCACAGTCGTTGCGTTCACGTTCTCCATTAAGTTCGTCTCCTCACCCTCATCCATGTTTTCGTTCTGTCCGTTCCGCACATTCTCTCCATCTCTCCCCTTCTCTGGAGCCGTCGATCTGCGCCGGCCGGTCACCGGGCGGGGACCAGCGAGTCGCGATACCATAACGACAGCAGAGCGGCTGAGTCACTGTGTACAGAATACGAGAGATTCACTACATGACCGCGATGCTGCATACTAAATAGAAAGGAGTGCAAGGAGTTCCGTGCACACAGAAATGGTGTTGCTGCGGGTGCCTCTCTGGCTCTGGGGTGGTGTTCTCTGGTGACTCCTGCACGGGGGAGGAGGGGGGCGTATGTGCCGAGTTTGTTAGGGCGTGTTAATTTTTCATATTCGGACTAAACTGGATGTGTGTGAGCTGGTAACTGACGCTTAGAAGAGGCAAAATGATTGCCTAGTCTTGTGTTTCCACTTTCTTCCCGTCGTGAGGCGATCTGTCCAGAGTGCCATTTTTGTACACGTAAATCAGGGAACATTCCGGACTCTGGGCAAACCTATGGGCAAACCTCTGGTGAACACTGTAGCCAACCTTACAATTAGCACAATTAGGTGTGATTTCGGTTGACCAGAGGTTTGACCAGAGGTTCTGACCAGTGCCCCGAATGCACCCTCAGTGCCTTGGGCTCGATGAGGCTCGATTCGAGAACCCAAGACTCGCATGTGTCGCAGATGATGGAATTCAGGAAACCATCCTGAATGCGTCCTCATATCATACCGTTGTGGCGCGACGTGTGCGTGCACTCCCTGAAATTTCAAAATTGAACATTTCGAATCAACCCGCTTCAATCAGATCTCTTTCGCTTGATAGCTTGTGAGTTGTGTGAGTATTTATAATTTTTGAACTTCACATGCCGCTTTCCACTAGGGAAGCGTGGGACCTGGGTGAGGGAAGGGTTACGCTTGACCTGCATTTCGACACCATATCTCATCGCACGCCGCATACTATCTATGCGCATCACACTCGCATTTTTTGCTGTTGGAAACATGTAATTTACGCTTCTGATGTGTCGAAACACTGAGCTGCAAGCGAAGCGAACTACAACGGAGGAACAGCGAGTCAGCCGAAGAGGTTGACGAAATGTAACAGCAAGGAGGTTAAGCGAAGGTCAAAGGTGTTACGAATAGCAATGAATGAAGATTACAGTGCACTCCCGACCGTAGCTAAAGGAGCATGCAGTATGGAGAACGAATGTGAAGAGTCAGAATTGACTCGAAACGTCAGACGGTTGAGATGCATCTGGACCGTCGGAGCAGATGGCATCTGGCAGCTGCAGGAAGAAGGATTCTGGCGGGAACAGTTTCGTAACTGTACGCGCCGCACGGTTGGGAATGAATTTGAATAAGGGAATGTACCCGTTAGAGTACATGGCTAGCTAGGTCGATTTGAATTCCGCTGTACTCTTATTTATATTTGTCAGAATGTTATTGTTCTCTAGCATGCAGTGGGGTACTCTATAGCGAGTACAACCCCTTAGGGTTTCCTATATGTATCCTGCTGCTTTCTAGTGAACCCTCTTCTTCTTTCTAAACTTTTTCTACTACCTCCTAATCTGCACATGCTATCAGAGCAGGTCGACCCCCTTGGGTCGATCCTGTGGGTGGGCTCACCACCTCACTGCTTCCGCTGCTACTGCTACCCTCTGTGTTGCACGCCCCGTGGTGTGCAACGGATTTTTCATCCCGCCGCACGCTCGGAACGTGCGGCGGTTGTCTGCCCGCCGCGCGCCTGCCCGCCGGCGCCCCGAGGCGCGCGGCGGTTCTCTGCCCACCGTGCGCCCCGAGGCGCGCGGCGGGTTTCTGCCCCGTCACGCAGTGCGTCGCTCCCGGGAGGCGCTGCGACGGGCGACGGGGACCTGCGAGTCGCCCCCCGTCGCCCGTCGTGGCCTGCGCGCGGCCCGTATAGGCCCGCGCGCGGCCCGTACGGGCTGCGCCAGGCCCGCGCGCGGTTCGGGCGGCTGTGCCAGGCCCGTGGGTGGCCCGTTCTTCGCTGCCCCTGCGCTGCCCGCTGTCCCCCGTGCCTCTGATGGCGCCCCACCCCTGCTGCTGCCCGTTCTCCTGGATTAGGGTTTGGGGGTGGGGGGTATGGGGGTGCAGCTTCTGTGTGCCATCCCCTGCTCCTCCTCCTCCTCCGTCTCCCAGTGCTGCAGATGCCGCTGAGGGGGGTGGACCTGTTGGAGCCGTCGGAGTGGTACTAAGGGGGGTGAAGGGGGAGTGGAGCTAGGGGTGAAGTAGGGGGTGTGTGTCAGGGGGAGTGGGACTGTTTGTGGAGGTTGAACGGAGGTTGCCGTCGTGTCGCCAGCAGCACCTGTAGTCCGGGGAGTTGCTCCGGTAGCCCAGTCGCAGCCAGCTGTGCCAGTCGCCCGTGGGTCCGTTGCTCGTCTGCCGCTACTTTTAGCCGCGGAGGCAGTTACTCCAGTAGTCCGGAGCGTTGTTCCGGTAGCCGGTGTGCCAGTGTGACTCCTGTTGCCCGTGTGTCTGCAGCTTCAGCCGTCGCCTCCTATCTCCTCTCCTCTCACTCTCCCTCCTCCTCCTCACTTGCCCGTTGTGACTACCACTAGCATTGCTCATAATTGTGAACTTTAAACTGTTGCTTCTTGTACTTGTGCTCAGAATGTCTGGTGACATTGTGATCCACCCTGAGCTTGTTCTGCTTTGCTTGCTCTGCTGATTACACCCCACTTTGGCTATGGGGGTGTGTCAGAATGTTATTGTTCTCTAGCCTGCAGTGGGGTACTCTATAGCGAGTACAACCCCTTAGGGTTTCCTATATGTATCCTGCTGCTTTCTAGTGAACCCTCTTCTTCTTTCTAAACTTTTTTCTACTACCCCCTAATCTGCACAATATCGTTGTACTTGCATGTTTTAATCATCTCAAGCATTTTACATTCACTCTGCTATTGAGGTCAAGGGCCCACCACCACTAGACTAGAAGTGTGCGAACCTTCCTGAGGTGATCCTAGTTACGATCTATTTCTGATCCGAGCAAAAGGTCAGCGACCTTTGACTCGCCAAAAGGCAGCGCGACAGCAACGACACACAACTAACTCGTTATTGAGCAGTTGCCCGAGTCGGAGCTGTATCGAATCGCAACAGCAACAGTTAGTTATGTCTCTTCATATTCTCTGTAATCATATAAAAGCCTTATATTCCTTTGCTATAATCAATCGATCTTGCTCTCACACACTAGTGCAAGGTGGTTCAACTAGTTCACTAAGAACGCTTCCGCAATTACATCATCACTCTGAGTCTTAGCCTTGAAACGATCCAAAGGGCTTTTCTCAACCCAACATGTGCCACACACCTTCGTCTCGCGCCTCTGATCCACTCGAGTTAATGGCCACGCCCAGCCTACACGTATGAAAGCTTATGCCTAGTGATAGTCTGCATGCTAGGGCTTAGGGTCCCGAAGCTGAAATAAGCTGCCAGTCTGTAGAAATTTCTGCCACCGCGTGTATGGGCTCCATGGAATGCCTTTCTGCAGCCACGCTAGCTTGTAGTTCACTAAGGAGTCCGAAATTTGTCAGTCTTGAAAAGGCACAGAGTTGGCACACGAAGAAATTCACTAGATTAGAAAGTGTTATAATCCCAAGTGGGACTTAGCGAAGGATCGCTCAGGGTTGATCGCAGGGTAGTGTTGCTACGGAAGTATTTGTTACGATATGGAATAATTGAATAAATATTCCTAAGTAACGAATCCTTAACGCGAAGATGTGTGCAGCGAGAACAAAAGACCAAGCGACAAGACAGTTATCGAGACAGTTACAAGGAGGAAGAATTTAAAGTGCAAAGCGCGGGAAATGTTCAAACGGTTACCGGACCGCGTACGACCACCGAACCGCACGGTTGCAATCCTGCATCTAGATTAGCCCTAAGGGGAATGTACCCCCTCAGAGTACATGGCTAGCTAGGACCTTTCGTATTCCATTGTATTTCTATATAAACCCATGTACCGCATTGTATCAGTCACTTCTGTTGAGATTCAAATCTCCCTCTTCTGACAAAGTCCGTACCCGACATTATCAAGCAACCTTCCGCTGCTACACTCCGTGCGATCAACCTGAGACGATCCTATAAGACGGTTCAGATTGTATCAGTATTGACCTCAGGTCAGAGTGAATGTAAATGACTGAGATTGATTATAGCATGTATACATCGAGTTTATATACGAAATATAAAGGAATGCGAAACGACCTAGACTAGCCATGTACTCTAGGGGGTACATTGCAGCAAATTCAAACCGTGCGGCGCGGGAACCAATTTCAAACCTATTCCCGCTCTTTTCATTTCAAATGTTTCTGCCTGCATCGATCTTGATCAGACGGTTACCAGCGTCGCTTCGACTCTTCTGACTTCTCGTCTTCGTACTCGGTAGAGTCGGCTCCTCCAGCATACAGGAATGCCTTCTCATAAACTTTCATATCGTAAAAATTCCCTTCATTCCTGGGCGTGCAGAGGGCTGACTCGCTTGACTACTCCGGTGAGGTCAGAGCAGTGCTTGTACTGCTGACGTGGCAGTTGCTTAGTGACGAAGTCAGCTGCCATCTCGGTGGTGGGGCAGTACGTGAGGTCAACCTTACCCTGGTCATTTCGTCCTTGACGAAAAAATGCCGAAGCGCGATGTGCTTCGTGCGGTTCACGAACCCCAGCTTGTTCGCAATCTTGATAGCACTCTGGTTGTTGCAGTGGAGGCGAAAGGTAGGCGAAGTTGGGATTTTCGCCTCCTGCAGCAACTCCTGCAGGAATAGTCCTTCGCGAACTGTTGCTGTCGCGGCGATGTATTATGCTTCGGCCGATGACAGGGCAACCTGTTCCTGTTCTGTGAATTCCAAGAAATTGGTCCAGTTGGCTCCAGGCGAAAGATGAAGCCGGTTCAGGACCGTCGATTCGCAGGATCAGCGGCATGATCCGCATCCACGTAGCCATTGAGATTGAAGGGGGTCGTCGTCAGCGTGGAGTAGGAGAGCCCGATG